AGCCTCTTCTCCGTGGTGCCCAGCAACAGGACAAGAGGCAACGGGCACAAACTGAACCACAGGCAGTTCCATCTGAACCTGAGGAAAAACTTCTTTGCTGTGAGGGTGACAGAGCACTGGCACAGGTTGCCCAGAGAGGTGGTGGAGTCTCCTTCGCTGGAGATATTCAAAAGCCGTCTGGATGCGATCCTGGGCAATATGCTCTAGAGGTCCCTGCTTGAGCAGGGGGGTAGGACTAGATGATCTCCAGAGGTCCCTTCCAACCTCAACCATTCTGTGATTCTGTGATATGTGAGTGCGCACGCCTGTGTCTGCGTGCTGCCGTGCGTGTGCACGTGCAGTGTGTGCATGCCTTTGTGTGTGCACCTGTATGTGAGGCGTGAGTGCATGGGTGCACGCACACATTGGTGTGCATGCCTTTGTGCACGCGGTTGTGTGAGATGAGTGCCTCTGTGCGCATATGTTTGTGAGCACGTCTGTGTGTGCACACAAGTGGTTGCGTGCATGCCTTTGTGTTTGTGTATGTGAGGGGAGAGCACGTGAGTGTGTGTGTGTGTGTGTGTGTGTGTGTCTGCACGTGTGTGCATACGTGGCGGTGATTGCGTGGTGAGGCATGCACATGTGCAGCAGAGCACATGCATGTGCACGTGAGGCCACGCGTGTGCACAGCACCGTCAGCCAGGACGAGAGCGTCGCAGCCGGAGCCAAGGCTGCGGAGGCTCAGGATTTGGCCGTCTCCGTCTCCGTCTCCAGGAAAGGTGCCCTGACCCCAAACCGGGTCCTTTTAAGCCCAAAATGCCCGGCACAGGGGCTCCAGCACCCCGAACCTTCGCAGCCCGCCAGGACGAGGAGGGTTCCCTGTTCCCGTCTCACAGCCCTCTCAGGCTTCAGGGGCTGCAGGAAATACTGCTCAGCGCTGCGTGGCGGTGACTTTCCACCTGGCACCCCTGATGTTCCTGGCATTCCCAGCGCATCAGCAGCCCCCTGCCAGCACCGTCTTCCTGGCCCAGCAGCAGCGGGTCCGCCGAGCGAGTCCCGGCCCTGGCCGGCACTGATCCTGCCCCAGCGATGGGGCTCTGGTGGCCCCTGGGGTGCTGGTCCCCGGCCTGGCACAGCACCAGCTGTGTTTCTGCAGCAGGATCCTCCCTGCTGAGGGATATGGGGCTGGATGGGACCCGAGGCTGCATGCGACCCCGGGCTGTATGTGACCTCGGAACAGACTGAACCCCAAACCCCGGGCTGGATGTGGCCCTGGACCAGATGGGACTCCACTCTGGACAGGACTCTGGGTTGGATGGGACCCCAAACCAGATGGGATCCCATGCTGGATGTCACCATAAGCTGGATGACACCTGGGACCAGAGGGCACCCTGAGCTGGGTGGGACCCCATGCAGGACAGGACCCTGGAGCAGATGTGACCCCCGACCAGATAGGACCCCAAGCTGTTGGGACCCTGGGTCAGATGGGGCCACAGGCTGAATGTGACCCTCACCCAGATGGGACCCCGAGCTGGATGTCACCCTGGACCAGAGGGGACCTCGGGCTGGATGCAACCCCAGACTGGATGCCACCCTGCCCTTTCCCTCTTGTCACCCCGCCGTGCCACCCAGGTGGCTGGTCGTCATCAGCACGTCGCCAACGTCCCCGGGGACCCGACGGCGGTCGGGCCAGGAAAGGGCCCGCTCGACGTTTTCC